TCTTTGGAGATTTCACCCCCCTTCTACCGGGCGTACGCCGCCTTTTTTGCAAGCAGGCATTCCCGGACGCCCTTGGTGGACTTTAATCGTGCTGGAGAGGAAAATCCAAGAGGATTTGAGACTAGCTTGGACAAGTTATGTAGTGAGAGGAGAGAAAAAAGAATGAAAATGGACAATGAGGTCATTTGCCTCAGTAATGGGGAGAACAGTGGAATTATCAAGAGCAACGAAGGAAGATGAGAGAAGAGTGGGCTTGTGAGGAAACATAAGGAGCTTGTGCTCATGCTTCATTTGAGTTGGTGGTTGGACACCAAGGCTGGGAGACATTTACAGAGATACAGAATTGCTTGGGTAGATTGAGGAGCAATCAATACAAAAAAAGGGACACAAAGAGTCTGTTTCGGAGGTGTGGGGAGGCGAAGAAAGGAAAAGACCCTTTGGCAGTTGTGTCCATAGTTTATAGTTCAGAGTTCATAGATGTAGGGTCAGAAGGGACCTGAGCAGATCATCAAGTCCAGCCCCCTGCCCTGGGCAGGAAAGAGTACAGGGCTTATATGACCCCTGGTAAATTTAAGCTCATATGACCCTAGCTAGGTAGTTATCAAGCCTCCTTTTAAAGACCCCTAAGGTAGGAGCCAACACTACTTCCCTTGGAAGCTGGTACCAGATCCTGGCTGCCCTGAGTGTGAAGTAGTGCCTCCTGATGTCTAGCCTGAACCTACTCTCAATCAACTTGTGGACGTTATTCCTTGTTACTCCGGGAGGTGCTGGGGGGAACAGTGTCTCACCTATTTCCCTCTGGTCCCTCCTGGTAAGTTTATAGACGGCCACCAGATTCCCTCTCAGCCTTCTCTTGTGAAGGCTGAACAGGTTCAGGTCCTGTAGGCTCTCCTCGTAGAGTCTGCCCTGCTGCATTGATCAGGTGAGTGGCCCTCCTCTGGACCCTCTCCATGCTGGCCACATCCCTCCTGAAGTGCGGCGCCCAGAACTGGATGCAGTACTCCAACTGCGGCCTGACCAGTGTCGCATAGAGGAGGAGGATCACCTCCTTGGACCTACTTATGATGCATCCGTGGATGCGTGACAAGGTGCAGTTAGCCTTACTGACCGCATCCTCACATTGGCAGCCCACGTTCATTTTAGAATCAATAATGACTCCAAGAGCTCTTTCTGCCACTGTGCTTTTGAGAAGAGAGTTCCCCAGCCTGTAGGTATGCTGCTGGTTCCTACTGCCCAAGTGCAGCACCCCACACTTGTCAGTATTGAATCCCATCCTATTCTCATTTGCCCATCCCTGGAACCTGTCCATATCTAGTTGTATCCTGTCCCTTCCTTCTAGCATGCCCACCTCACCCCCAATCTTGCTGTCATCAGCGAATTTGAACAGGGTGTTTTTCACCCCCTTGTCCAAGTTGCTAATAAAGAAATTGAATAGTATGGGCCCGAGGACCAACCCCTGGGGGACTTACTCCATTGCCCACATCCCTCCAGGTCAAATATGACCCATCCACCACCACTCTCTGCATGCGGCCCCCTAGCCAATTTGCAACCCATCTGATTGTGTAGGCATCAATGCCACAGTCGCCTAGCTTTTTAATGAGAAAGGGGTGGGAGACAGTGTCAAGCCCTTCCTGAAGTCCAGAAAGACAACATCCACCATGACACCTGCATCCAGTGATTTTGTGACCTGATTGTAGAAGGCAATCAGGTTGGTCTGGCAGGATCTGCCACTAATGAACCCAGGCTGGTTGAGCTTGAGCATCATCCCCCCTGCTGGTCCCTCACAGATGTGCTCCTGGATAATTTTCTCAAAGAGCTTCCCTAGGACCAAAGTAAGACTAATGGGCCTATAGTTGCCTGGGTCCTCCCTCCTCCCTTTTTTGAAAATGGGGACCACATTGGCCTTCTTCCAGTCTTCTGGCACCTGGCCAGAGCACCACAAGTGCTTGTAATGCTGTGCCAGGGGCTCTGTGATGACCCCTGCCAATTCCCTCAGCACCCTGGGGTGGACAGCGTCTGGATCTGCTGATTTGAACATGTCCAGCCCCTCCAGAAGTTCCTTAACTTGGTCCTCCTTGACCCTAGGCCTGGCAGAGTCTCTCCTGAGTCCGTCCTGAATCCCGGTGGGGGAGATGTCCCAGTCCCTGCTCAGAAAAATGGAGGCAAAGAATTAGTTAAAAAGGTCTGCTTTTTTATTTGGTGCAACCACCAGATTGCCAAGCGTATCCTGCAGGGGCCCCACATTGCCTGGTGCCTTCTTTTTACTCCCTAAAAAGTCTTTTCTCATTGTCTTTTCTCATTGTGAAGAAACTAGTAGATCCCTAGACAGAAAAGGTGGAGGATGAATGGAGGAGAAAAATTTTGAGAAAAAGAAAAGGAAACAAGGAAACATGCTGTATCCCTGGCTTTACCTCAGTTAGTCTTGAGTGGCAGATGACCACGTTCAGGGGAAGTGAGGTAGAATACAGCTGAAGGTCAGTCCAGAATCCATGATAACTTCTTGGACATCTACTACTTCCTCCTCCAGGAAATGAAAAGTATGAGAATGTCCTCAAGGAAGCAAAACAAAACATGGAGCAAGAGCCTCAGAGAGATGAAGGCCTCAGCCACACAGAGGCCACAGCTGCCGAGCCACCCGTGGACAATTCCAGCACCATGGTAAGAGTGGATGCTGCTGCAGTAAGTGCATGCCAGGCTTCTGCTGCCTTAGTCATGCTCTTCTGTTGGCAGTACCCCACTTATTTTGGCTTCTGTTTTTCCCACTCCTTACATGTGACTGATACTGCAGCCACTGTACATCACTAAAGCTGTATCCCTGGCAGTTTATTCCTGCAGGGGCCTCTGTCATGGAGAATGTGGACATCTGAAAGCTGTCTTCACAAAGTACAAGTCTTTCTGATAGTGCAGTGCTTGATTCCCTCACTTGCTTTGGTTATCGTTTTCCCTTTGAGTAGGACAGATTGCACAAGTAAACACTGCAAAATTAAGCCCAAAGGCATGCACAGCCCCAAGGAGATCAGAGGAAAGCATACAAACCCTGCCTGCCCTCTGCAGCTAATGGCTGTCATGCTCAGCATGCTGATGTTGTATAGCATTTGGATGTTTGTGGATGTAAGCACAGTGACAGGTGATCTATGCTCTTGTGGTGAATTTTCCTAAATTAGCTCAGATATTGGTTCTTCTGAGCCTTACTTCTGCTTTCAAGGCACTGGATATGTTTATGGTACTGGATATGTGTTTTTTTAATAATGATATGGCTAGTTGATGATACAGGGAGGGCTGGGTTTCTTTCTTAAACCCAAATACTTCTGGGTTTATAAATTCTTAGAAAACCAAACTGTTATTTGACTCCAGTGTGCAGTCTTGTCTAGCCTACATACATTCTTAGCTTGCTCACCTCATTTTCCAGTTATGCACAAAGTAATATAAATAACATCTGTCACCTGCGGCTGCTTTTGTCTCTCTCACCCCTCCTTAAAAGAAATTTCAGATGTCTTTGGGTGGGATATTTCTCCCTGCCAAATACCAATGATCAGTGGTCACCTTCCTGCTGAACAGATCCAGTTAGCTCCCTGCCAGTGATGATGTTAGTCAGATCTTTGACTGTTAGTTAATTCCTAGATCATTCTGTTTTCTGCCCATTCATTCCAGCTAGAGTCTATAAAGGATTTTAAATATATGGTTTCATGGAAGGGAGACCCTAAATAAGTCCACATTTTATTGAATTGTATCTAATTTGTAATCCCACTGTTGCTGTAAGTAGACAGGGAAAAACTCATTAGTAGATTTACTGCTGTTCCGGTGTGCCTGTATCCATGGTCTGCGTATTTTTAAGGCCTGGTTCAACAAAGCCCTCACGGGAATGATCTAGTTGGGAATGGTCCTGCTTTGAGCAGAGGCTGGACTAGGTGACCTCCTAAGGTCCCTTCCAGCTCTAATTTTCTATGATTCTATTCATCCATGATATGTGCAAATTGTGTTCCCCTTTTAGAACATCCATTTATTCCAAGGCTTCTTTTAAGCTGTGGTCATTAACTGGGGACAGACAGGTGCTTGGGACACTGAATATTTCCTCTCCAGTAATTGGCCTATATGTTTGCATGGCTAGTCACAATGACTAAATATCAGGCAAAATTGGGGGGTGGGGAAGGAGGGCAGGTCCTATTTCACCCAAGTTCTGTCCTACAAGAACCCCTAGAAAACTGTTAATGAAAAAGGTAGACGGGTCCTTCTCTGCTTTTTGTGACTTAATCTTAATGCTAATATGGCAGCATATTGTCAAAATAATGTTTTTTTCAGCATGTCTAGCAGGGAGGAATAGGGTCACACATAGGCACCTAAGTACTCATTAGACGCCTAAAAGCGAGAATAGGATCAAGCCCGAGGTCTTTTATCAGGTCAACCTCAGGACAAGGTCATGGCTTGTAGGCCAAGAGGACAAAAAAGAACTACAAACAGATTCAGCAATGAAATACTAGTGCCTTCCTTCTGAAGGGGAGGAGATTCTCAACCCTACTAGAGGAAAAGTATTTTGGCTGCAGAGAAAATGTGCTTTCTGTAGGGTCTGTGCTGATGATCTACTGTCTTTGCTTTCCCTAGTTAGACACCTGGCTGCAGATGGAAGTGGAGCGGCTACTGATACAAGAGCATGCCCTGGAACAGCAGAAAGCTCTCACGTATGATGGCCTGAAAGACACTGCTGTCAGCCAACGCACTCGCCGAAAACTGGTCAAGTGAGTGGTGGCTTCCTCATAGGTTCCACTATAACAGAGTTCTAAAGGAATTGGCTGAGGTCATTGCAAGACCCCTGGCACGGATTTACGAGCACTCGTGGTGCTCTGGAGTGGTGCCGGAGGACTGGAAGAGGGCCAACGTGGTTCCCATCTTCAAAAAAGGGAGGAAGGAGGACCCAGGAAACTATAGGCCAGTTAGTCTTACCTTGATCCTAGGCAAGCTGTTTGAGAAAATTATTCGGGCACACATCCAGGAGGGGCCAGCAGGGGACTGCATGCTTAGGGGCAACCAACACGGGTTCATCAGTGGCAGGTCCTGTCAGACCAACCTGGTGGCCTTTTACGATCAGATCACCAGATCATTAGATGCAGGGGTAGCAGTGGACATAGTCTTCCTGGACTTCCGGAAGGCTTTTGACACTGTCTCTCACCCCGTTCTCATTAAGAAACTGGGGGGCTGTGGCGTAGACACCCACACAGTCAAATGGGTCGCCAACTGGCTGGAGGGCCGCACCCAGAGGGTGGTAGTGGATGGGTCCTTCTCAACCTGGAAGGACGTGGGCAGTGGGGTTCCGCAGGGCTCGGTCCTCGGGCCCGCGCTGTTCAACATCTTCATCAGTGATTTGGACGAGGGGGTAAAAAGCACCCTGTTCAAATTTGCTGATGACACTAAGATGTGGGGGGACGTGGGCACACTAGAAGGAAGCAACAGGCTACAATCTGACCTAGACAGGTTACAAGGGTGGGTGGATGAGAATAGGATGGGTTTCAACACAGACAAGTGCAAGGTGATGCACCTGGGGAGGAACAACCGGCACCATACCTACAGGTTGGGGAACTCCCCTCTTGTCAGCACGGAGGCGGAAAAGGATCTTGGAGTCATCATTGACTCCAAGATGAACATGGGTCGGCAGTGTGGGGAGGCAGTTAGGAAGGCCAACCGTACCTTGTCATGCATCCACAGATGCATTTCAAGCAGGTCAAAAGAGGTGATCCTCCCCCTCTATGCGGCACTGGTCAGGCCGCAGTTGGAGTACTGCGTCCAGTTCTGGGCGCCGCACTTCAAGAGGGATGTGGACAGCATGGAGAATGTCCAGAGGAGGGCCACTCGCATGATCAGGGGACAGCAGGGCAGGCCCTATGAGGAGAGGCTACGGGACCTGAACCTGTTCAGCCTCCAAAAGAGAAGGCTGAGGGGGGATCTTGTGGCCTGTTATAAACTAGTCAGGGGGGATCAGCAGGCATTGGGGGAGTCACTGTTCCCCCGAGCACCGCCAGGAGTGACCAGGAATAACGGACACAAGCTGGCAGAGGGGAGGTTTAGGTTAGATATCAGGAGGTGCTACTTCACGGTCAGGGTGGCTAGGGTCTGGAACCAACTTCCAAGAGAAGTGGTGCAGGCTCCTACCCTGGGGGTTTTTAAGAGGAGGTTGGATGACCACCTTGCTGGGGTCATTTGACCCCAGTACTCTTTCCTGCCATGGCAGGGGGTCGGATTAGATGATCTGCTCAGGTCCCTTCCGACCCTAGAAACTATGAAACTATGAAACAGGGATCCACCATTGGCCCACCCACCTGTTTCTGGGCTAACTGCCTGCCTCGCTCACCTGCCATGCCTTGTTGTTTCATAATTGGTTCTTATTAGGCGGGAGGCTACCTATTCTTTTCCCAGTGCCAGGGCACTCTCTATGGGTCTGATCCTCCCCTACACCATAGCCCAAGCCTTACAGATGGCATCCAGGTGACAAATGCTCCCCGGCCTACAGCTGGACCAAGCTTAGCCCTCATTGTCAGGCCTCATACACACACACACACACACACATTCATACCACCCTTCTCTCGCTAGGGCCTCTTACACTCCACCCCCTCTCATAGGGTCTCTTTCACTCATCGACAACTTATACTGCCTTGCTCCCTCTCAGAGTGGGCGCCTTTTGCCATAGGCTTTATCTGGCGCACATCTTGGGTGGCAGATTTACCGTCTTTTGGGCCTCTCGCATGACCCTCACTGGGGTAGTGGCCAGCCAGTTACCCAGCTGGGGTCAAGTTTGTCCTGGCCCCTTCTGGGGCAACTCTCTACAAACTCAAACACACCAGGCTCCCAGCCCTCTGTTTCCCCCCTCACTGAGGCTCCACAACTCTACCGCCTCACTGGGACTACAGGGCTTCCATCTCCAGTTGGGGCTCAGGTGGCCATAGCCATGCCTGGCCCCAGCTGCTGCCCACAATGATGTGGTGGCTAGAGGTTCTTGAGGTGCCCCAGCCTGCCTTCCACCAGGGTGGTAACTGGTCTGGTATTTTCCTGGAGGCTCCCAAGCCACTGGGAGCCCCACCATGCCACCCACTCCCAGCAGGGTGCCGTTTTAGGCCATGCCCAGGACCAAGAGCCTCCTGCTCTTACCTGTAGATGTTTTCATACAACAGCTCAGCCAGGCAATGTTTCCTGCCTGGCTGCCAGTGGCAAAGTGCTCTGTTTATATAGGCAGCCATGGTTCTAAAGTGGCCACCGAAAATCAAGCACCTGCTGGCTACTTGACTTGGCCCTTAAAGTGGTAGGCACCAACAGTGCCCTGCCACATACACACAGAGAGATTGTCCCTGGGAACTGCTTGGGAATAGCTGTGAACTTCAAAAGGGGGTTTCATAGTTTCATAGTGCCTAGGGTTGGAAGGTACCTAAACAGATCATCAGGTCCGACCCCCTGCCCTGTACAGAAACGAGTGCTGGGGTCATAAAACCCCAGCCAAACACCTGTCCAGCCTCCTCTTGAAGACCCCCAAGGTAGGAGAGAGCACCACCTCCCTTGGGAGTCCATTCCAGAGCCTGGCAGTCCTAACCGTAAAGTAGTGTCTCCTGATGTCCAGCCTGAACCTTCTCTCTAACAATTTGTGGCCATTATTCCTAGTAACCTCTAGTGATGCCCAGGGGAACAGAGCCTCACCCAATTCCTGCTGGTCCCCATTGCTGAGTTTGTAAATGGCCAGTCTGAGGGGGAGTGGCATCCAGGAGAGCTGGTTCTATTTCAAAGAAGCTTTACTGGGAGTGCAGGAACAAACTATTCCAATGTACAGGAAGACTAACAAGTATGGCAGAAGACCAGCTTGGCTTACCAGGGAACTCTGCAGTAAACTAAGTAACAAAAAGGAAGCTAATAAGAAGTGGAAACTTGGACAAATAAATAGGGAGGAGTATAAGAGCAGGGATGAAGTCAGGAAAGCCAAAGCACAATTGGATTTTCAGCTAGCAAGGGATGTGAAGGGTAATAAGAAGGGTTTCTACAAGTATGTTGGTAGCAAGAGGAGGATCAGGAAAAATGTGGGTCCCTTACTGAATGGGGGAGGCAAACTTGTGACCGAGGATGCAAAAAAGGCTGAAATGCTTAATGCCTTCTTCATCTCAGTCTTCACGGCCAAGGTCAGCTCCCAGACTACTGCACCTGGCAGCACAGTTTGGGGAGGAAGTGAGCAGCCAAAAGCAGCAAAAGAACAGGTTAGAGACAATTTAGAAAAGGTAGACATATACAAGTCCATGGGGCTGGACAGGATGCACCCAAGGGTGCTGAGGGAGTTGGCTGATGAGGCTGCAGAGCCTTTGGTCATCATCTTTGGAAACTCATGGAGATCAGGAGTGGTCCTGGATGATTGGAAAAGGACAAACATAGTGCCCATATTTAAGAATGGGAAAATGGAGGATCCAGGGAACTACAGACCAGTGAGCCTGACCTCAGCCTCTGGAAAAATCATGGAACAGATCCTCAAGGAATCCAT